GCATAGTGGCTAAGACACTTGCCTGCTAACCAGACGGCTGGCAGTTCAAACCCACCAGCCACTCCTCGGAAGGAAGGTTGGGTAATCCTACTTCCATAGTGATACTGCCTCGGAAACCCAAGGAGGGGTCGCTATGAGTCGGGTTTGACTCGACGGCAAATAACAACAACAACAACAAAACTGATATAGAAGAAAGTCTGAAGAGCTTTATGCCTATTTTGAAAATAAAATTTGTTATCAAAAACCTTCCCCAAAAGAAAACTCCAGGTGCACATTAATTCTGGATGAATCCTAACAAACATTTAAGAAAAACACTAGCATCACACAAGCATCTTTATAAAATAGAGAACAAAAGAATACCTCCAAACTAATTTTGAGACCACTCTCGTGGTGCAGTACCTAAGGCATTTGACTGCTAACCAGAAGGTTGGTGATTCAAACCCACTAGCCACTCCGTGGAAGGAAGTTGGAACAATCTACTTCCATGAAGATTTATTGCCTCGGAAATCCAATGGGGGTTGCTATGAGTTGGAATCAACTTGGCAGTGAGTTTGGTTTTGGTTTTGGTTATACCCTAATAGCAAAACCTGACAAAAGATACAATTGAGGGAAGAAGGAAGGAAAGGAGGAAAGGAGGGAGGGAGAGACAGCAGGATGAAGAAGGGAGGGAGGGAGGGAGAAGCAAACCAGTATGATTACGTTCTTACGGAAGCACATTGAACAAAAAGTTAGCAAACTGAATCCAGCAATATAGAAATGGACCAAGAAGAGTTTATCCTAGGAATAAGACAGATTTAACACTCAAAAATCAATGTAATTCATCAAATTAATAGAATAAAGGGGTAAAGCCATAGTAAGATCAGTAAGTAGATGCAGAAAAATCAGTTGACAAATGCAACACCTATTCATGATAAAGTTCTCAGTTGAACTAGGAATATTATGAAATGCCCTCAATCTGATAAAGGGCACCCCCCCCCCCAAAAAAAAAACAACTTGGCACTACATCATCCTTATGGTTAAAGACTGGAAGTTTCCCCTTGGGTCATAAAGGGACAAAAGATTTGAACAGACACTTTACACAAAAAAAAATAATAAAAAAGAAATGGCCAATAAATCTGTGAAACAATTTTCACTTTTTATTTTGAAGTAATTTCAGACTGAAAAAATTGTTAAGAATGATACTTTTGTATACGTTTCATCCCAGATTATCTCTTTACCTTGTAATATATTAGTGTGTATTTCCTAAAAAGAATATTTTATATATTCACAGCACATTAATCCAGGAAACATTGGTATAGTTCTTTATCTCTGATTTCATCAATTATTCCAAGAATATTCTTGATAGAAATTTTTAAAAAATCTGGTCTGGAATCTAGTCCAAGATGAACTCCAGTTCAGTTGCATTATTTGTGGTAGTTAAGTTTGTGTGTCAACTTGGCTGGGCCTGGTTGAGTGGCTGGGCAGCTGAATGGAGTTATTCCTCATGGTGAGATTGGTAATCAACTCCATGGTAGAATCTACTGAAACAGCTGAGTAGCTGCTTTGGGTATGTGGTCTGCTTTCCGTATATAAGAAACAGCTTTGGTGACTGGGATCTTAAAAGCTAGCTAGCTGCCATCTAGATGCAACGATGGGTCTTTCCTCGTCAAGAAGAAAGAAGAAAACCAAAATTAATGGAAACAATCAGTCCTAGCAACTGGTACAGCATCCGATCTGCAACCTATACAACTATGAGACCAGCAAAACTAGATGGTGCCTCGCTACCACTGTCATCCACTTGGAAGGGATGTAGGAGATCCTGCATTGAGAGGGAGAACAATGTGGAAAAAACTCAAAATCATTTGGAGGCAAAAAAAAAAAAAAGACAAAGAAGGTGGGGACCAGGTTTGCTGGTCCAATAGAGCC